GAGAGGGACACAGGCTCTGTTACGGTAGCCAAGGTTCTTGGATGTCAGTGCCAATCCTTTTTTACAAGGACCAGCATCCTGCTAGGCAGAAAGGGCAGAGACTTTGAAGATAGCCAGTCCTTGCCTCAAACCCAGCTTTACAGTTTATTGGCTACATACATGATAATGGACATGGTAGGTCATCTCTCTCAGCCTGTTTCTACACCTAACTCAGGACTAGGCTGAGGACTGTGACAGGAGATCAAAAGTACATTGCATGGAAAAGGCACTTGCAACAAGTAGCTGATACGTGTCTTAGCAAACTCCAAGTTCAGGTTTTACCCTAGGACTATAGCAAAAGGATCATCACAGGTTCACAGAGAGCAAAGCCAAGACCCACCTATTGCAGATGCTACAGTGGTGTGTCCGGGCTGGCTTGGGGTAAATACACTTCTTACAGATGGAGACCGTGGCAATATCATTCCTGCCCTGTGCAAAAGGAGAAGAGCATCATGAGTGCTGCAGTAGCACCAGTTTTATGCCTCAAAAGATCCCAAGGCATTCTCCATCCCACAGCCTATATGTAACTGCCTCGCTCCACTGCCCGAACAGAGACCCACCTGAGGTGGGTACCCAGGCGGAGTGGTGATGGCCTGGTAGTAATGGAAGACGATGAGGATAAGATTCCAGTGACTGTAGAAGAAATGCCAGCAGAGTCGTGGCACTGAGTAAGTTCGGAGGATGAGTGGCAGGACACATAAGTAGGCGATGGCAACAATGGAGCCGGTCAGCACGATCACCAATACCACAAACACCTGCCAACACCAGTGAGGTAAGGTAGACATAGCAAGACAACTCTACTCAGAAATGCAGGAATTTCTCTGTGGGTGAGGACCTTGCGTCCAGAACCTAGTGTGGGTCCACCAGACACGTCCCTCTACTCCCCTAAAACTTCCCTTTTCCTGCTGCCTTGGCATCACTTACCACCCCAAACCAACGAATCACATTGTCCACCAGCCAGTAGACAGGTTCAAAAGCAGCATCAACCGCAGCTTCACTGCCCCCAAAGGAGTTGTAGAGCAGGGAGCGAAGGCAGACCTTGCCGTAGCGCCAGCGCTGCACCAGGCCTCGAAGCAGAGGTGGGCAGCGGCGCCTGTAGCCCAGGAGCAGAAGCAGGCGCAGGCAGAGGCGGGCTGGGCCCAACAACAGGCTCCGCTGGCCACGCATGGCTCCTAGAAGGGTACATTATTGTGAAGATCCAGCCTGAGTCCTACTGCTCCCTACCCCACCAGGTGGAAGGCCTAGAGTACCAGCTTGGAGAGCAAATCCCCAAGACTAAGGCCCAGTTAGGACAGTCATCAACTGTGGGAAGCAGAAAGGTCACTTCACTTTTCTACACAATGTTCAGCGCCAGTGCCACAACCAGATTATCGGGAGGTAATGACTGGAAATTCTGAGCCTGCAGAAACCATATTTACATTATACGGGTGCACAGCAAATCCAACATACAGACCTACATACCTAGAATAAAGGGCCACATAAAGAAGTAAGGGAGAGGCAGGTGGCTTCAAATCAAAGGAGTCATTGGAGCTGTCCGTGTAGTTAGAACTGCGGGTGGAGCATAACCAACACAGACAAAGCTACCTTCTGTCTCAGCATGCCAGTGTTCCAGTTCAGTTTCCTGCTATGCTGGCCCACCAAGTAGTTGTGGTTCCTGCACCTAGACCTTCTTTGGTGGCATCTGAGTCTTGGCGAAAGATACTCTTCCTTCCTATCCTACTCCCTCTGGGTTGATGTTACAGGCCAGCAGACTCAGCCTGGTAGCAAGAGATTCCATCTCACATCAGGACAGTCAGCCACCTCTTGCATGACACTGGATGCATTGTCTCTAATTCCCCTCCTCGCCTCACCCCAAGGATAGAGCAGCCAGATAATGTCAGGTATTCAGGGTAAGAGAACACTGAGGCAGGAGACAGAAGTTGGAGGGACTTCCATAGTTGGTAGCTCATGAAGACCTCAGGTCCTACCCTCTCAGTGGAAGTCTTCCCTGCTCCGCTGTATTCACACTCAAGAACATTCTCTGAAGCTGCTGCCCTTGACCCCAGGCTTCCCAACCAGCCTCCCAGCTCACCAGCCCTTGCCATGGCTCCTCTGCAGGTGCTTCCATCTCTGCACTCTCTACCTCATGCACATGCTCTAATAGGCTCCTTCTGTGACTGTCTCAATTCTGCAGATTAAGTCTTTTACCAAGAGGAATTATCTGACTTTCCCCCAGGGAAGACCAGCCAGGGAAGGCTCTTCTGTCCTTAGCAACTCCATTGACTTATTTAACAGGCAGCTCAAAACCCAGTGGAAACTGGAGGAGGCTGCTAGGTTACAGGGATGGTTTCAATTCAGTAACTGGAGCAATGTACTCTCCTTGCACCCTGGCTCATCCCACAAAGGGCCTTTCAATGAAAATACTTAATTACCTCTTTCTACAGGCTCTTAAACCCTAAAGAAAAAGAAACCCAGTAGGTAAGGTCTACAAAAAAGAGAAGACTGATAATTAAGAAGGGGCTGACCCATTGCATCAGGATAAAGAAACTGGCCATTCCCAATATCTTCTAGGAAAATGAAACAAAGTGGAGTGCAGAAAAGAGAAAAAAACTAAATAAAAAAAGAAGAAAAAGAAGAAAGGAGAAAAAGCTAAAAATCTCAGACTTTTAGCTTCTCTGAGTTGGACTCCTATTATCTAGAACCATGATTTGGCTGAAGCATGAATTTACAAAATAATAGCCACAACAGACTGCCCCACAACCAATCTAGGTGACACGGACTGTCCACCCTACTGTACATTCATTCCTTTACTATGTTTTTGGTACTAGGGTTCAAACTCGGGACCTTGCACTTGCAAGGCAGGTGGCTGGACCACTGAGCTAAATCCCCAGCCCTACATTCCTTTACTATGGATAAGAGTTTTCTATTTTCTAAAATACCTTTTATAGACATAGTATACCAATCAGATACTTTCCTCACCTGTAATAAATGTGAATGATTCTCAAATTCTCTATTTTTCTGATAGAAACCCCATCCTGAATTCCTGAGCTCTACTTAGGGCCTTGCACATAATACACAAACAATATTCTGGCCCTTTGTTCTTATTATTTAGAGAAAGGATTTTGCATGCTAAATTAAATTGCCCAAGCTAGCTTTAAACCTGGGATCCACCTGCCTTAGCCTCCCACGTAGCAGGGATTACAGGCATGCACCACCAAACCCAGCTTCAATGAACACTTGTTGACTGAAGGACCTGGAGGGGTGCAGAAGTAGAAAGGCTGGTCTATGAGTCCCACATATTATCATCAGGGCCACTCCTGCCAATATGATAATACTTAAGTATCTGCTGCTATCATTTTTCCTGATCAATGAAGAAATGGAAACTTACTAGAATCATAGTGTTAAAGAGCTAAAAGGCATTTTAGAAAACAAATATAACCAGAAATCACCCAAAGACATAAATGGAAAGCTTATCATTGCAGAAGTACAGGCTAGATTTGAGTGAACACTTTATAGCGTGGAATATGGGAAACATGGGAATGCCAGAGAAAAGATATGTTGCCCATGGGCCACAGCTGAAACTGAAATTTCAACTCAGGAAATTGATATGCAAAATTCAAATTATGTGTGCAGAGAGGAGTGTGATCTCAGAGAACAGAGGAGGAAATAGCAAAGCACAGTTCTATCACACCAAGCAGACACTGACAAGTCCTATCTCTCAGTAGTACCCATAGGTCACAGTAGCCATCTGCCACCAAATTAGGGTTTGCAGGCCACAGCTCTCCCCTCATCCCACTTAACCACCATCTGTTTCCAAGGAGTGGGGAAGGGGAGATAGGAAGACTCCAAAACCATCAGAAAGCAGATTCAATAGAGAAAAATCGTGACAAATTTCATCTGGACAAATCTCAAGCAGGAGATGTCAAACTTCAATTAAAGAGCAGGATTTAAACCAGGTGTGGTGGTACACGCCTGTAATCCCAGCACTCAGGAGGCTGAGGCAGGAGGATCACTGTGAGTCCGAGCTCAGCCTGGGCTACATAGTGAGTTCCAGGGCAGTCGCAACTACATAGTGAGACCGTGTGTCAAAAAACAAAACAAGCAGTATTTTATTCATGTACAGACTTCCCTTCTGGGCTAACATGCTTAAAAGGGTAGTAACTTTATCCTAAAGCTGCTCATCCCACCAAACGTGATAATGCAGGCCTGTAATCACAGCACTCTGAAGGCTGAGGCAGAAGGACTGCAGCAAGTTCGAGGCCAGCCTGAACCACATAACTAGATCCTGTCTAACAACAACAAAAAAGCTGCTCATCCCAAATTAAGAAGGGGCCAACACTACTACAGATCTGATCGCTGAACTGGAGGCTGCAGCTACCAGGAAAAGATTCTCTTTCAGCGAGGGCGGCGTGGTCAAACTGTGATGGACTGGAAACCAGAAAACTTAGGTTCTGACTTGGGCTCTGACGAATTATCTTCGAGACATTGGGCCTGAGTTTGCAAACCTGTGAAAGGGGCAAGTTGAGCTTGCTGACCTCCTTCCCGTTCTGCGCGTTACACCTTCCCCGAGGGTTCGCTCTGTCAGAGGCGGGCAAGGCCCTGCAAGGCAGGCGAGGAGAGAGCAAGAACCCTGGCTTGCGACAAGGCCCCGGGACACGCGGCTCGACCCTAGAAAAAAGAAGAATTCCGAGCAAGGGCCGTAGCTTCCCCTTACCTGACTCCTCCCGATTCCTCAAACAGCCATATTGAGGCCGGGCAGCCTCTAATGCCGTCTACTACCACCTCTCCAGCTCCACGCCTGGAGCGGCTCAACCTTACCCACCATGGCCCGCCGCCCGCGGCGCCAGCCAGTGGACCCGGACCCGCTGCCAGCCCATCCCGGATCATCAGCGCAAGCGCAATCACTGGCGCCCCGAAGTCCCGCCCCCGTTTGGTCCCCCGGCAATCTGGGAAATGGAGTTTACAATAGAGGAAGAGCTTTATTTGGTCACGTGACATAACACCCCAATGAAGGTGTAATATACTGCGGACCACTCCCAGATGTGACCAATGAGAAGTTCGCTTAGTTTTCGTCCGGGTTTGCATAGTGGCAGTCATGGCGCCCCCCGTGAGATACTGCGTCCCTGGTAAGTGTACATTTCCCGTTCGGAGTCTTAGATGGGGACAAAGACTAGAATCCTGGACAGCCACGATTTTCTTGGAGCCCGTTACTGATGCAGTGTTCTTTCTGCAGGCGAACGTCTGTGTAACTTGGAAGAGGGCAGCCCGGGCAGCGGCACCTACACTCGGCATGGCTACATCTTTTCGTCGCTGGCCGGCTGCCTGACCAAGAGCAGCGAGAACGGCGCGGTAAAAGAGGCAGCTTCCCATATACTCTTTCTCTGCCTTTGTCTTAGGCCACCCTTCCATTCTGGTCCTTGAACACTCGCACTGTGCGGATGCATCTTCCGTGCCTACCGTAGAACGATTTAGTCTCCAGTTTGCCCTGTAATCGCCAATACTGTGCTGGTAGCCACCAACACTAGTTAAGCTGATGGTTTTTGGGTGTGCTGCCAACTCACAGCGAGCGAAGTTGGGCAAGAGCAGACGCAAACTTGAGAGTAGCCTGGCTGAAAGGAATTTGACTATCGCTACCTGTCCGCCTTCATGTAGCTCCACTATCTCCACTTCACTGACTGCTGTTTACTTATTCTAGCTTCTTTCAGTCACCAGGGACGCTGACTTCTCTGCTGCTACAGAGCCATGTACACATGCCATCTATATGGAACACACTTCTCCTAGCCTGTGTAACTCCTACCTCTTTCACAAAGCCTCTCTACTATCTTGTTCTTAGAGAAGTGCTTCTACATCATGCTGCTTGAAGAAAGGTTTGGAGGGGGAGGTTGTTAAACATTTACAAAGAGTTCTGTTCCTTTCCTTTGTCATGTAACTAAACATTCAGATACATATTCCCCACTAAATTTTTCCCTAGATAGACTTTTAAGTTCCATGAAAGGAACCACTGTACAGGTCTTACCACTGCACCTTCAGTGTCCAGCATAAGATAAATGCCCAATAAATGCTTGTTAGGTGCAAGAATCATATTATCCTCGCTAGCTCCAAAAGTTGGTCCAGGATTAGCTCAGGATCAGATAAATAGTCTTTAAAGGAGTAAAGACAGGTAACACGATAAAAGATTAAGAAGTAAAACATCTCAGGTACTGGCAATCTAGACCTTGACTGCACTTGGGACAACAAACCTGAACCATTTGACTTTAGATATTTCTTCATCTGTAAAAATACAAACTTTCAGGCTGTGGATTTAGCTCAGTGGCACTGAGCCTGCCTCAAAAGCACAAGGTCCTAGCTGGGCATGGTGGTACATGCCTGTAATCCCAGCACTCAGGAGGCTGAGGCAGGAGGTTCGCTGTGAGTTCACAACCAGCCTGGGCTACATAGTGAGTTCCAGGTCAGTCTCAACTACATAGTGAGACCCTGTCTCAAAAAAGAAAAAAAAAAAGTACAAGGTCCTGAGTTTGATCCTTGGTACCAAAAAAACTTTCTATTCAACCAATTTTAGGAATGTACTTTACCTTTGTAAGTTTCTTCATTTCATAGTTATCTTGAGCATTTTCATGCATCAGGCACAGTGCTGAACTCTGGGGATATAATGAACCAAATACACTTAGTTTGTGCTATCACAGGGCACAGAGACAGCATATAAATAAGTGCTCAGTGGTGCATGGTTACAAATATGATGACTACTTGGAAAGACAATTATATAACACCATGAGACCATGTAACAGGTGAAAATGCCTTAACCAGCACAAATGACATTTAAGCTGAATTGTCTGTAAGGGTGGCTAGGGAGGATGCTGTTCTAGCAGGAAGAACAAGTTGAACAGAGACCCTGAAGTGAGAAAAACTTAGTAAGTTAGGGAAATTGAAAGAGGCCAAGAGAATTTAAGCATGGTGAAAAAGGGAGAGACTGTGGTAGTACCCGCAGAGGCTGAGGCAGCAGAATTGACTCAAGTTGGAGGCCAGCCTGGGCTATATAGTGAGTTCAAGGCCAGCCTGAACTACATAGTGAACCCTGTCTCAAAACTCCCCCCACTCAAAAAGAATAAGAGAGACTGATACAAGATGAAGCTAAAAATCTCTCTCTTACACCAATAATCAAAGAGAAAGCTACAAATATTCCCTTAAAATAGAAGAAAACCATTATTGCCATGATTAAATGATGTCTATTTGTTAATTCTATCCTGGACTATTAGAAGAGTTATCAATGATTACAGGCAATACAATTGCATACCAAGATATGCCAAGAGAATCACCAAAAATGTTTTATACCTAACCTGGAATGGTTAGATTCTGTCTTCTGGCAGCATTCTTCCTGTACCTCCTTGTCCTGTTCCTAAATTTAATTCACAGTCCATCTGACCTTGTGTTCTCAACCATACCTAGTGGTTCCTATATTATTCTCAAGCCACAAATACTTCTACTCAAGGCCTAGCCGCAGCATTCATTTTATTATTTTCTCTGTAGCTTCCTGTGGTGTCTGTGATGAGAGAGACAGAATCCCAGTTATTGCCAGATGTGGGAGCTATTGTCACCTGTAAGGTAAATTTGTCCTAAATCTATGCTTAGCACACATAGCCGATGCTAAAATCATGACCACTGTGGAACTGCAGTGCCTGATGTGATAGACACTAGCTACATAGAGCTATTTAAATTAAGCCTGGTATGGCAGCACATTTCTGTAATCTAAGTTGCTTGGGAGGTTGAGGCAGAAAGATCACAACTTTGGGGCCTGCCCGAGCAACTTAGACCTTTCCTCAAAATAAAATAAAAAAGCTGAGATGTAGCTCAGTAGTAGAGTGCTCTCCTAGCATATGCAAGGCCTTCACATCAATCTCCAGCCACCAAAATGAATAAAAAAAGCAATTAAAAAGTATAGCCAGGTGTGGTGGTACCCATTTGTAATTCCAGCACTCTGGAGGTTGCGGAGGATTGCCACAAGTTTGAATTCTTGGCGATACTCTTGGCTCAGCTGGCCACCACACCTGTAACAGGCTGGCCTGGCCATATTATCTCATTTATTTCTGTAATAAGTCTAGTAAGTGGCTACTGAGGCTCTTGTTCCACAGGTATCACCTAGGGAAAGATAACTAGGAGTTGACTTGTCTTAAATTCTACATGATAGAGTTGCTTAACTAAAATTTTAGTAATTCCCAGTTTATTGCTGCTTCCTTGAGCTGACAACTGCTAATGCTCTGATGCCTACCCTTTTTCTATTCTTCAGGTCTCTAGCATCAATTCACGGTTTGCTAAAGTGCACATCTTATATGTAGGGTCTACACCACTTAAGAACTCTTTCCGAGGAACTATCCGGTAAGAAGTATTCTCGTCTTCACATTTGCCCTAGCACCTGGAATAAGACTAGGATAGTTTTGTTTTGTGCTTTTTAAGACAGGGGCTCACTATATAGTTCAGGCTGACCTTGAATTCACTATGTAGCCCAGGTTAACTTCAAATTCACAGTAAATCCTCCTGCCTCAGCCTCCTGAGTGCTGGGATTACAGGCTTGCTCCACCATACCTGCTAAATGTATTTTTACAAACAAGTACTATTCCTACTCCCACCTGTGTTTGTCTCTCCTTTGTGCTTTGATTCTCCCCTGTAGTAGTCATAGAAAATGTGCTATGAGCTAAGACAAAAGGAAAATATTAATAAAAGAGAGGTTAAAAATAAAACAAATTGAGCTGGGGATTCAGTCCCCGGTACCAAAAAAAAAAAAAAAAGAGAGAGAGAGAGAAAAGAAGCAGCATAAGGGTGATTCAGACCAAACAAGTTAGAGGGCATTTTAGAAAGTATGTTTTTTAAAATACATATATATAATATAGATTAAACCCAAACGTTACTGGACATTAAGAAGTTTGTGGGGCCGGAGATTTAGCTCAGTGGTTCTGCCACCTGCCTTGCAAGTGCAGGGTCCCAAGTTTGATCCCCGACACCAAAAAAAAAAGGACCGGGGATTTAGCTCAGAGGCACCGTGCCTGCCTTGCAAACACAAGGTCCTAGTGCTATCCCCAGTACCACAAAAAAAAAAAAAAAAGTTTGTGGGGCAGTGTGTGGTGGCACATAACTGTAGTCCCAGCACTCCGGAGGCAGAGGCAGGAAGATCACCATGAGTTCATGGACAGCCTGGACTCCTTAGGAAGTTCAGGGTCAGCCTAAGCTACATGCTGGCACCCTGTCTCAAGCCAAAAAAAAAAGTTGTTAGTGGGAAACAATAGGTTGTTTTTTCTGTATATTGTTTAAGGAAGGGCAAACACTGTAGGCCAGATAGTTTGCCTTTCAGAGCCCTTCCTAGCCTTGGGATTCTGTGTGGTTCCATAGTGCCTCCATCCAGGGGGTCTTGAGGCAGCAAAGTTCCTCACCATTTCTTGTCAGATCTCTTCTGCTTTTCTCTAGTCAGAGGTATCCACACTGATGCTCTGTGTGGTCCAAGAATGGGAAAATGTTTTCTCCTCTCAATGTGAACTAAGTCTGCCTCCCCTCCCTACATCCTGAGTGGAGGTTATGATGTGTCCCCATCATAACTTGTCCTCTATGCTCTTATCCTGTAGTTCTTTGGCTGCTAGAACCTACAGGGTAATTATTTCTCACAAACAATTAATATTTGTTAATTCTCTTTTTATAGCAAGGAAGATGTCCGAGCGACTGAAAAAGACAAGGTTGTTGGTTAATTTGGACTTTTTTTGCATGGCTATCGGAATCTCAATTTTATAAAATTATCCTAATGAATATCAGAGATCCATGGAAATGTGGAACCTGCAAATTTGAGGCCAGCCTGGGCTACATAGTGAGTTCAAGGCCAGCCTGAACCTTATCAAGACCCTAACTCAAAGAAAAAAAAAATTTTTTTTTTTGACTGGCTAGAATAACAATAACATCTAACTCCTGGGATTAGAAAGTGGACTGGCTCAGGCTGGTGATACGGTTCAGTGAGAGATTGCTTACCATGCATAAGGCCCAGGGTTCAGTCCTAATCACCTCAAAAAATAAAGGAAAGAAGAAACAGATAAACTGGCTCTACTGGGGGGTTAATAATGTCATGTGGACTCAATCAAAAGCTTTCTTTTAACACTCCTGTTGTTCGTGTACAGGTTGAAATTTATAAGAGTTTCCGCCCAGGTGACATTGTCTTGGCCAAAGTGGTATCCTTTATTCTCAGCAAACTACTGAAGGTCCTTTGTCAAAAGAAGAAATGGAAGTAGAGAAACAACTCAAGTAACTGTTGGGGGAAGATTTAAGCTGCTCATTTTCCTTCACCAGTGTCATATGACTAGATATCCCTAGGTGATGCACAGTCCAATTACCTGCTGACCACTGCTGAAAATGAGCTGGGAGTGGTAGTGGCCCACAGTGAATCAGGTGAGTTGGTCCATGCATCCACATCTGAACTTGCCCCTGGGAGCCATGGTTTAGGGTTATATCATCTAGTGATGTTGTAGTTCTCTTAGTTTATACAAAAATATTCTGTGATGTTTACACAATGACAAAATCATTTTCCAAAATATGGCCCCTGCAATACATGACTGCTTATTGCTGAAATTAGAATGGTTTTCCTAAATCTAAGCAAACAGGGAACTTACTTCCACTTACTCAGTGGAATAAACAAGGTTTCTTCCAAATGAGGTGAGTTTCACTAGGTGATATCTATTTTTTAAAGCAGTACTGTAAACCCAGGGTCTTGCCCATGCTAAGCAAATGCTCTGCCACTGAGCTTCATCCACATCCCAAAACTTTAATTTCATACCCAGCTGAAAAAAAGAGAGTCTCAGGAAAATATCTGGGGTCCCAGCTCCCACATTGGCTTTTTCCTTCCAGGTGTCCAGATGGTTCCCATTAGCTGGTGTGAGATGCAGTGCCCGAAGACTCATACGAAAGAATTCCGGAAAGTGGCCCGAGTTCAGCCTGAATTCTTGCAGACCTAAGAAGCCACATTTTATTGCAGGGAGGGGAGTAAGCTATTATACATGTATAAAAATTACATTGAGATGTCATGGTCTTTATTCACATACCTAGGATCAGCCAACAACCACCTCTAGAAAAATCTGCTGGTAATTTACTCTATGGATAGACCATTATTCTTATGAAGCTTTTAGTGAATTTCATCCTCCTGAATGATGAAACATCTCTTTTAGAGACACCAGCAAACAAAACTATATAATATTGGAAATAGCCTATTCCTCCTGACAGTCATTAGAAATAATGTATTTTTTACTGTGACAAAACATTTTTATATCCAGGCATGATAGCACATACCTGTAATCCCAGCACTCAGGAGGCTGAGGCAAGAAGATTGTTATGAGTTCAAGACCAGCCTGGGGTATATATACAATTGAAGGCTAGCCTGTACTACATATCAAGACCCTGTCTCTAAAGACAAACAGGAAAAAAAAAAATAACAGGCCAGGCATGGTGGCTTGTTCCTATAGTCCCAGCACTCAGGAGGTTGAGACTCCCAAGTTTGAGACCAGCCTAGGTTACATACTGATTTCAGAGGCAGCCTGAACTATATATAGCATAATCCTGTCTCAAAAAAACAAAACAGCCAAAACCAAAATTTTTATTAAAAGGAAAGGATTTTCAAACAAGGAAAAACATCTGAATTGTGTCATGACTTTTAGAGCAGTGGTTTGTTGCCTTCATTAATTGCTGACTATTAACCGCCATGTGTCAACTGCCTGCTTGCTCTGGACAAAACCTGATTGCCAGGGCTGGGGATTTAGCTCAGTGGTTCCACTGCCTGCCTCACAAATGCAAGGGCCTGGTACAAAAACAAACAAAACAAACAAAAAAAAAATGATTGCCAATTTCTTGTATTTTTGTGTGCTCAATACTTCTACATACTAGGTGCCAAGCCCTGGGACAGGCATTTTATGTGGTTTAGTGGATTACAAGACATACCTGGTAATCCAGGTAGCATGTGAGTAGTTCTGAAAAGTGCTTAGTAAACAAAATATTGACATGGAAATATTTGTTAGCTCTAGATTGAAAAGAGGGACAGAGCACTATCAGGTGAGGTGGCCAGGGAATGATCTGTGACACAAGGTCAGAAGAGCTTGAATGAGTGAAGTAAAGATTCTCCAAGCAAAGAGAAGCCTTAGCAAAGTGCTGAATTAGAAATGAGATTGTAAATTTAGGGATGAGAGAATAGGAGAAGAGGAAGAAAGGCTGCAGAAAGAGGAGGAAAGAAAGACGAACATGAAATGGCTTTTAAAATTTTTATTTATTGGGGAGAGGAAAGGGACTAGAGATTGAACATAGGGCCTTCACACTGAGCTATATCCACATCCATTTTTTTATTTTGAGACAGGTTCTTGCTAAGTTGCTAATTGACCCAGGCTGGGCTTGAACTTGTGATCCTCTGCCTCAGCAGAGTGCTAGGATTATAGGTGTGTGGCTCTGCACCCAGCAAAACATCTGTTCTTGAGATGTTACTCAAGATGCCACTCACCTCACAGTACACTCGTAGCATGAGCTCTGGAGGCAGCCTACCTGCCTCTGTGTCCTTGAATTGCTGACCTGCTATAAGTTAAAGGCTTTCTACTTTTTCTTTTTTTGTTGTTTTTGTTTTGTTTTGTTTTTTTGAGACAGGGTCTCACTATGTAGTTGAGACTGATCTGGAACTCACTATGTAGCCCAGGCTGGTCTCGAACTCACAGTGATCCTCCTGCCTCAGCCTCCCAAACGTTGGGATTACAGGAATGCACCATCACACCCAGCTCTACTTTTTCAATTGACGATTTTATTGCCACGACTAGATCCACATACAGTTTTTCTGTTTGCTTGTTTTTTGGGGTTTATTTTTTTGCAGTGCTAGGGATCAAGCCCAGGCCTTTGTGTATGCTGAGCATATGTTTTATTGCTGAGCTATACCCTTAGCATTCACAAAGCTCTAGGATTAATGGGCGGGGAGGAATAATACAGAGATCCCTTGTGCCCTTTGGGCAATTTCCCTGACTGGTGACATTTTGCAAAATTATAACATCAGGCTGATGCTATAGCTCTGTGGAGGCTTGCCTACCATGCAGAGGCTCAGGGATTTAATCACCAGCGTGACCCCCCCCAAAAAAGACTAATAAAACAAACTACCAGGATGTTGACAGTGGTGGTGTTTTTATATCTTTGTCTTTTTCCTCATCTGAATAGTATGACTTCATAAGACTAATGTGAGGAAGAAATGCTTGCATGCTCAGTACATGCTAATGTTATATGTAACTATTATTATATAGCTGAGTGCCTTCTATCAAATATCTATTAGATGTAGGTTGTTTTATAAGTTCCTATTGGTAGATATTTTAAAACTGTAGTTTTCTGGCTGGGGATTTAGCTCAGCGGTTCGGTGGCCTGCCTTGCAAGCGCAAGGACCCAAGTTCAATCCCCAGTATCAAAAAAAAAAAAAAAAAAAAAAAAAA